CGCTGCTTTGGTGTATAGGATGAAATTATGGTATGGAGGCACATTTTATATAATTTATAATACATCAGGCGGTGGATCACGAGGGTTCGAAATCACAATATTTTATATGACGTCACCAATGCTCCATGCTCGTTGACATATTTTTCCCGTTTCGTCAATTATGATTCATTCAAAGATAAACAACACAACCTGGACATATTCCGTGTTCTGAAAAGAAAGAAAAGCTCAGCAAGTGTATCACATAACAAACATGCGCATTACCGAATATTCGGATGTCTAGATGAGTAAATAAAATCTCTTAAACAGATAACAATTTTATAGGAAGACCAGCTGTCCTTCTGACGCCAATCTGACTCATCCTAACGAAGGCACGGACATCATTATTATCTTATAAAACCTCAGATTGCATCTTTCAGAAATATCTGTCAATCATTTCGCTAGAATTCGAGAAAGCAGGAACACATTTTTGTGATGAACGACTGGTTCGGACAACGAGCCACAGAAGTAGGCAAATTTCAAATGGCCATCAAAGAAATATATCAAGGTTCACTGGAATTTTCGCTTTATTTTGGCAGCACTCCGAGGTAACGATCTGCTGTTTGTATGGTGGCTAATTTGTCGAAGTCGGAGTGACTAAAGAAAATACATGTGATCGTTATTAGCGTCAAGGAGCGAAAGGACAACGGTGCTAGGCAAGATGAAATATGTTTGGTCGCCGAGTTGCTTCTTTTGCAGTATTTCATCGAGATTAGTCGGAGCAACAACAGTAGTGTAAGCAACGAAATGGCATATATTAGCTTCCATACGTTGGCGATGAAGTACTGCCTCACCAACTAGGTAGTGTGTTTACGCATAAGGGCGATACTTACTGTTCATGTCGTTTATAACTCGTGTGTAATAAAATTTTGTGAAACCTTTATCTGAACTTGCTGTAATATGATACAATTTTAGGACATCATCACATTTTCTGATATATTAGTGTTGACTTCCATACGACCTCTACATCATCAATGGATCTTTAACAGCTGATACACAGGGACGAGATTCTACACCCTTGTAAGGCCCATTGCAGGAGTTGTTGGCCAGATCTGATGGATGATAATGCTTTGGCTGGTGGTCAACGACTATCTTCAAAGATGTTCACAGAGCTTATGATTGCTCTGCAAATGAATGCTCCGTTACGTTTGAACATACGTATACTGTAGAACTGTAATTGTCAGTAATACAAACAGATTAATATGTATCTTTGTATTCTAGGTTGTATAGTTGTAAATAATATAAACATTCCATCATTTGCACAATAGCTATTTTACTTGTATATATTTTATTTTTGCATCTCTCTGCCCTTATTCTTGGGGTATGTTATGATTCTCCTTTCAAAGGGACATTAATGGTGTGCAAGACAATAAGATCAAACCTGTTGTAATTGTAGCCCTGTAAATGTAATTTCTTCATCAGACTTGTAGAACTGTATTATTCTTGTTACATTAAGAACGACTGGTATACATTCCCAGGCACAGAACATGGCAATAACAACCATCTCTCTAAGGATTCCAAATGAAGCAAAATGTCTTACCAAGTGAATTTTTTAGATATAGTTATTTTCAGACAAATTCTATTGAAAAAGCTCTTCCTTTGAGGTGTTGTTATCCAAATCAATTAATCTAACGACATTCGATTTCATCTAATAGAACAATGCATTCTTAATGTGTTCGAATTCCAGAATCAGTTTTAAAACAGGATATTTTGATAATCTTTATTTGCAAAACACGGTTTATATACTCAATATTTGCACTTCCTGTGTGTTGGCCTTACCAGTACACAATTGATAGTTACACTTCCGTCAACGTCAGATCTGATTACATTTCCCGCCAAATCCACCATTTGTCTGGCAGTTCCATCCGCGTGTATAATGTCTAATGAAGGACGATTTTTATCTCGAAGTTCACCAAATGTATTAACAATACATGTCATATCAAATGTCTGTAACAATGCAGTTTACGCACCAATAAACAACATATTAGAAAACAATATTTCTTACTTAAAAATTGCAATAAACCATAAACTAAGTGTGATATGTACAACGATCTGTGTATGGTGTATCAGCCATACAGTAATAATCTTTCTGTATGAAATTTTTTTAAAAAATCGAACCAGGAAAACCAAAGATATGGTTTCACTTTGGATGTTCCTCGGTCGCCTCTTAGTCTTCAAAATTTAGACCCTTAGCACTTACGAGTCCTATAAGGAGTGTATTATGCAGTGTAATTCACTGTGTACTGTAGCTGCCTCGAAATTTGTATTGAAAGCTGATATCCACTTGTGTGTGTTTTGTACAATCTGTAATGGTATGTAGATATAAACATTGATTATTGTCGCATCATAGCTGTTTGTCAAGATACTGGACTCCTACTGATCACTGTGTTTAGTCTGAAAATTACAATTCACCGTAGATATATTTATTGAAATCAAACAACAGGTTTAATTATTTTGATATTAATTTCCATATTCATGAGTAAATGTTATGTTTATTCTTATCTTTCTTTAATTATTATCGCGTAATTGACTCATAATGGCACAAATAACATCTTATTCATTAATGTTTTTCTTTTTCATAGAGTGTAGTAGTCCAGTCTTACTGTTTAGATATCAGGGCTAGCCTGTACCAATACTAAAACCTAAAGCTTCAATCAATGAGAGCAAGTTGGAAGTTTGAAATATTTTTTTTTTTCTATACAAAAGACAATTTTCAAATCACAATAATTGGAAAAACAGAGCCTTAAAGGTTATTTCTAGATCGTACTTATGCCGTTACATTGTTGAAGAACGTACACGAATTGACTGTGTACAGCATACGGAACCGCTTGATATATTGAATTCAATCAATCCAATTTTCCAGTGATTTCCATTCTCTGGTCACTGTTGAACGCTCTACATTTGTTTTGATAGTATTTGTATTTGTATGTCTACGTATTTTTTTCTATCGTCATTTCACACCGGCTCGGTTTTTGTATTTCGCATTTTTTTCACCGAATAATTAAGTGTCTGCTTTCTTCATGGCGCCAGCACTCCATTCCATATTTGTCTTGTTGTAACACTATTCGTCAAAGTATTTTCTTTGTTCCCGCAATTGTATAATCAAATTTATGCGTGATTGTGTGTGTATATATACATATACATTTAACTCTTATGTTAAGGCAGTATTCATTGTCATTGAAAATAGCAAAGCTATGCTTTGTCTGCAAAACCTTATGTTTTATAGTGGGCATAAATATCATTTTTATATTTGCATTCCCTACACCTTAAACCATGTATTTTGCTGATAATAATTTTATTTAAACCAAAGGAAGTTATTCTTGACCGTGCAATCCGTCATGGAGAATAGCCATTTTGACTGCGAACCATCGAAGTTTCTTTGTCCACAGTAATTACGACATAATACTTGCGCGCTAGATGGCATTTGTTTCATCTTGAGCAGTCATAAAACTAAGTAAATGTGACCTACTTTATCAGCTTTTGACATTTTGTCGACTTAATTATTACACATTACAATTACTGAGCTGCAGGAAACCTCAAATTGTTAAAAAATTTTCAACATTGAGTTTGGAAAAGTATTTAACAACTTTTTCATTTTACATCCATTTTTTAGATCCATTTGCATCGCCAACTTTTTTTAAGAGTTCACACTTAAAATACCACATGCAGGTGACCTTTAAGTATCTTATTGTAGAAGAAAAGGTTTATAACTAAATGGCCTAAGTTGGAATCTCCCTTTTAATTTACCAATATACACATTGATTTTAAAGTATATTGGTCAAGAATATATGTCTTACATTTTATCGTTACATAAAAGATTACTATATCATATTGTTTTTACTTCGCAATTGTTTTATTACAATTACAATATCGCGCGGTTATTAGATATCCAGCATGCTTGTAAACTGGTGTTCATGTATTTGGCCATAACATAGTTTTATTCAACGTGGAACTGTTCTCTGGACGTTTGATTTCTCGCTGTCTTTATGGACCACGAATATTGTGAAATACAATGCCTGAACATTATCATCTCTACAGTATAGTGATTAGTTTGTTGTTTATTGCCTCGTTCTTGTGGTCCAACGGTGATATTAGCACTGTTTCGTGAAAAACAGTGAATCGGGTCATCGCCGGTCATTTCTTTACATGAAATATGGCAGTATTTTCTAACTTAAACGATAGATATTTCCAGAATAAAAAAAACAGAAAGACATGTAAGGTTCGGTTTAATTTATCTGAATGAACATTATACAAGTTTCAGCCTTAATTACCATCATATTTACATTTCGTCATTAATTTTTTAATGTTTGCTCTCCAGCATTAAATGATGCATTATTTCAAAAAGGAACAGCCTGAAACATTAGTGGTAATTAAGGCGATGTTGAATCTCGATGTACTGCTTATTTAAATTGCACTAGAAACAAATTGAACTCGAAGCAATTTCAAATCAATTCGGTACTTTGAAATTGATTTCCATCACAGAAGTGACCTTCGTTATACCTGAAGATAGTAAATATTCCTTAGTTACCAAAACATTTTATTCCAAAATGTCCTGTTCGGAAGACGCTGAATGTAAACATCTCTGTACTTAATCAGCTACTTCCTGAAAATAACAACAGACTTTAGTGAATAACTCTGAATGAACAAAAACTGTAAGAACGATAACATTTTCCCCGATAAATCTTTTAATCAAGAAACTTAGCCCAATTATCCTGTCATTTCGTCACATTTTGTTTGAATTAATTGTTATTTTTTTTTTTTTTAGATAACACATAATTCAGAAATCATGGAAATTTGTACTATACAAACTGTAATAAGCAATATTGTACAACTATTTAGTTACATAATAAACATAGTGTTAAATGCGTTGTCTATTATTGATGTACCCTTTTGTATTTACGCTTACGCTTGACTAACAATCAAAGCGTTGCGTGGATTTTTCCTTCACATGTTATTTTGTCTCATTATTTACAGTTTTCGTTGATTTTCCTTACTTTTTCATCCTTCTCTACTTCTGCATCAACATCCACAAGAGATTTCATCTCCACCGGGTTTTTCACGTCCTTCTCAGCAGTACACTTCTTGGCCATATTCTGAGGCCATTCATCAAGGTTTCTAACAAGATAAAACGCCAGGAAGAGGAAAGCTAGTGACGCGATCTTGTAACCAAGAATTACTCCGTGAACCTTTAGACGAAGTCCTGATAGTACGTAATACAAACATGCCCCAGAAGATGTACAAGTGTCTTGCCAGATAATGCAGGTTGTGTCTATTACTTTTCCAATAATGATTGGCGTTGGCATCCAACCTATTGAAAAGATGCAAATTAGAAATCCAAAAAGGCTGAATTTATTTTATTATACACGAAAACAAAACTGAAAATCGTTGCTTTACAAAATTTATTATTTCTTATTTCGTTATCAAAATATGTCTGAACAACGAATATTTTCAGCTAAGAGAAATGATTTATTTGGTAAAAAAAATAGAAGACGTAAATATCCACTGTCAATTTAATATACTTTATCTAAAACCAAGGGAACAAAGATTTCGCATGACCTTTGTCGGATTTGCTCCCTCAAACAACATGGAATCTATCCCTTGATCCCAAGGGAAGACATACTCTGTAAAACGAAACTACATTCGGTATATGTCTTAAGTAACAAACCTTTATCTGATCCACTGAAAGACAACCTCCATATAGATTCCCTACCCTCCATATACGGTATATCGTCAGTTACTTACCTAAGATTGATCCAAGGAAAGCCATGCAGCCCAAAGCTGTAGCTTTGTCGCGATCCTCAACACATCTGTATAAAAATAAAAGCCTGTCATACACTACATCAAAAATCATACAAACAATTTATCATCACAAAAATATTTCAGACAAGATGATTTAGCAAGAATTGATAAAACAGTATACAAAAATACGAAAGCACGACAATTAAGACCATTTCACCGTCACTGAATGATAAGCTTTAGTATGCATAAAGACACGTTTAGGTGATCATCAAACGGTATGGCAATCAACACACCAGAGAGTGTAAGGTTGATATGAAGTTTGGAGTCAACATGAGGAGGTGTATCATGCAAGATTCATTCTTTAATTTCATATAGTGTTGATAATCGAGTGAAAGTTATTTTTGCTTGCATCTGTGTGACAACTTTCTTAATACGTCATATCTCAAATAATGAGTTAAGCAGTATAGTAGTTTTTATTATATACTCGTCAGTGATGCCAGGTACCTTAACTACTAATATCAAGAAGGCCAATAAGGAAAGGCACATCCGGTAAACCAATATTAATCCCATACTTCGATAACTGTTTCAGTTGAATTATTCAAAATAAATGTCCACACATAAATATCTTCTGTAATATGTATTATTGTGTGTAGATCACGTTTATAACTTTCAAATTGATATTTCAGTTCGCACCCAAATTTAAAACTTTGTTGCTATAGGTTACAACAGTAGAATGTGCAATGATAGCATCACTACACTTTAACTAAGATGACAGTGCTGTATAAATCTGTCAACGAATATAAGGTTTTCTTTAACAACTATCTGTGAATGTTTGAGAAAAAATCAATTTATCTGAAACGAACCCCCTCCCCGCCCTACACCCTTAAATTTTTTTTCAATGTAATGTAGGTAAGCCTAGATACTTTACCGAAGTTTAGCAATAAAACCCGGGGATATCAGTAAGGCGTTGAGTAAACCACCTATAACACACAGCACGGCAAACGGGTATATCATCACACAGTCAGACTGGCACTCACCGGAAGTGGCCTTCCCATCCGGAATACACGTGCAGTTGTTAAAATTCTTAAACAATAATAAAAACAGGCTAATCGCTTTCTATACTGTATGAAAATTTTTAATGTAATTTACGCAACAATTCACCTATCGATGAAAAGATTTAAAAGATTCATAAACCACAAGAAAAGACTAAACAGGAAAGGTATATAATGTAAGGGACAGATGAGAAATTGCATACTTGTTCTAGAATACTGATAAAGCATTACCTGAATTTGATGAGGGATATGATGATTGGTTTCTAACTTTGTGGAATGGTATGATATTGCCCATTTTTTGGTAAAAAAAATACAAGAAATCAGCCTTTTTATGACATGTTACCTGTCCTTTTAATGGTACAGAGGGACAGCCAGCAAAACAGGGCGAATGGTAGTTCACTCCATTTGATCCACACACAGGAAAAAAGACGTCATCTTTACAATCACAGCCAGTAGAACAACTTCGTGCTGTCAATGTCTGACCTGGGTGGTATCTTCAAAATTAATATTAATAAGAAACAATGATTTAGATACCTGGCAAGGTGTCCATGGAAATAATACTTGTATATATATATATATATATATATATATCACAATCTTCTCAAATTCGACATAATAAACCTACCAAAAAACAAAAATCATCCGAATTGAATTTTGGAAAATCATCAACAGCATATCCTTCATTATTTTGTCGTAAATAAAACATTCGATTTCCATAGAAATATTGATAAATAACTTAAATTTTAGATATTGTTTAAAATGAATAGTTGTAATTATAACGTTAGACATATTTAAACATAACTGAATACATTTACTTGGAATTTCGAATAAATTTACACTTATACTGACTTATCTGGACCGACAAATTTAGGCTGGTCGCAGCCAAGGAAGAGAGAGCAAGTGAACACTATTGTATATGTAGTATATATGGTTATCATCATTCCAATCGTTCTTCTGGGTGTCAAATTGAACATCCGTGTCAGGAGCCCTCCCAAAAACGTACCCAAGCCTACAGCAGCCTTAGTGGACGCTACAATCAACAAATACCGAAGATAGTATATCTAGTAAATGTGATCAACAGTCAGGTCCGTTTTTCAGCTTCTTGCGAAACATAAACCTGAGGTGAAGCAGGCCTACGTTCTACCGACAACGTTGTCGTGACCATGACATGGTTATTGAAATTAAAATTGCAACATTGGCCTTTACATCATAAACTTAAACAAAACGTATAAAATTGAGCATAAAAGAGGCGTGCCCTATTTTAAGGAAGGTCAGCTGCATGCAATCAGGTATTCAAAAAATCAGATTTTGTGTGAACGTTCGGGGTAAAATCAAGGGTGGAAATTGCTGAGGTAAAAATAAAACGTAATTTTGTTGTTTGAGTGAATATACACGTGTTGACGACATTACCAATTCAGACTTACCGAGGATCATGTTTGCCTGCCAGAGAGGAATGTTGAATTGTGTCTTGATATACTTAGACAGAAATGATATGTAACCGCCAATGGACCCGACATGGACTGTTGTACTAAGAAGGAGACAAATCCACACAGAATTGGAAAAGCAACGTTTAAAAGATGTCAGTCTCTCTGTAAATATCAGATTAAGTGATTTAACATAGAAAAAAACTAGTACCATCAATCTTAAATCAATAATCAATAAAACGGGCACTTTGGAATGTTACCAAGAAATTGTTCGCGGTTGTGAGGATTGCAATTTAGCTGATATAAGAAGATTTTGGAGGAACGTGTATCGTTGAGAATATGTCTATAGCAAAACAAATATTTGAGGATGAATTTGTGGATATAATTGAGCCTCTAGTGGACTTTCCATTGCTGACTTGTATATTTGTTTTCATTTGAGGCAAAATTCATGACAAAGAAGTCACAAAGGCATTCATTTCTACATATATTTATGATGTCTTGTCTATAAAAACAAGACATTTATCAACCATGTCCATCGTTTACATCCACTAAAGCTGGATATCAAGGACAGAGTCTTCCTCATCAACCGTACATTTCGATCTGTTCAAAACTGACAGGGAAAGCTATTCAATAAGTTTTATGAAAGTTGAAGATTTCAATTTCTCTATTTCTAGAGAGCAACAACATGCATCTCAAACTTTTGGCATTTGCGTGTCGTCATTGACTCGATGTCAGAGACTGTTTTTCGAATATTACAATTTCTGTGACAGATGCTCACAGCTGACAGAAAAAATCTAATCACTGGATTCAGAAAGATAAGGTTGATGAACACTTTGGGGAAGTTTGATAAGTTTGTTCTCATTTGGGAACGCGACATTACTTAATTTGACCCAGGTTTACATGGTGGGTGTCATCGATCAAGCAGAAGATGCTTACTCTTCCAGAATACCTGGTCTTATCCTCCTTCTTTTCATGACTCTCTTTGTAAATCATTCTTTTGTTAATATTTTGCCATAGTTTTTAATTATTTTGATAGTAATTTGCGTGCAACAAGTCATTAACTGACGGACAAACTCGTATCACAAGGTTTTAAAAGATGCAGGTTGGTGAAGATTATAGAAAAATACTCTATTTCTTTGTGCGATATGAAACTGGGCGTGTTTGACGTTTGTTAGTTCGCCTGTTGGTTCCGTACTAGTATATCTTGTTATCTTTTAAAAACATGACATTACGTACTTGGATTGACCAAGATTTACATGATGAATGCTCTCGATGAAGGATAATACGCTCACTCTTATGGAATACATGGTCTTGTGCTTTTTGTTCTTTTTCATGAGTCTTCATTTAAATCTTTCTTTTTTCATAGTTTCATCGATTTCGAATTTGAAGTAAGATTCTGTTTACAAGTCGGTATTTCTTTAAATCTATTTGTATTCGTTTTATCGATTCTCTATACTGACATTTATTTACAAACCTTTTACTTTGTCGAACAGTTCCATGTCTTTTGTCGATTTTCCCTTCACGACTATTGCTTTTGGCTTCTTTATGTGGCGTGGGAAAAGAGCCATAGGCATTGCAAAAACAATGGATGCACCTCCAAACATTAAGAAACCGATCCACCACGCCCCAATCCATCTCGGATCCCTTGGCGTAATGTCAACATCTGCAAAACAAAAACCCTGCCTCATCTACAATGTTCTGTAAGCAAAAAGAAGCGATATCCCGTATGTTTTTCTGAGCTCTCCAATGTCTGTTTGGGCCAGATTATGTGTAAACATGAAAAATAGCCTTAAATTTTCTGTTATCGAAAGTTGTGATCAATTTACCTTCCAGTGTGACGTACATTTTGCTGAAAACGCCACCAACGACAAAAGCGACTGACGGACCGGCGATAGCTACGGCGATTATTATACCTGAAAAAAATGTATTTTGTTTTCACATTGACGAATCAAAATGCAAATCAAATGTTAAATTATTGAAATTTGAATAATAGTGCAAGTTTTTTTTTTATTTTTTTCTAGCGTCCAAGATATTTAGAGAGTGGTGAAGTCTGAAACATAGGAAATTTTAATTGTGACGTCACAATAGCAACGCTTTATTCTGATTCGAGCAATACAGTATTCTTTGTTTTCGTTTTGTAGATGGGTTACATGCTCAATGTAAAAGCTTCTGTCCTTTCAAAGTAATGTAATAAATTGCATGATCCTTATCTGTTCATAGATAGAATGACTTTTCATGTTTGTCTCGGGTAATGCATCGAAATATTCAGAAAAAATCAAAACTATGACCATATTCATAACACATATGTGTGAATTCATATCCTCATATATGAAAAAAAATCAGAAAGATATTTAATATTTTGTAGAACAATTAAAAGGATATATGAAGGAATAAATATATTCAATTTCGACCTAATTATACAAGAAGGGTTTTTTTACCATCAAACAAAAAACCCTTAAATTAAAGCATACGTTGGTTTTATTACTAACTGTTTATGGGTGACCGTTGCTAAATTTAACAGAACGCGAAAAGTTCAAAAAAACGTTCCAATTATGGAAAAACCACGCAAGCATTTACCTACATATTTAATGAACTTTGAACTAAAACTTGATTACAATATGAATACTAGAAGATTTTAGAGAGAAACTCCGCAGCAATGTTTGCTGTATTCATTGGTTTTTGTGAAGTTGTTAAAGTCAACAGTATTGAATAATGAAAAAAATACATTTATTAACTAACATAAACTAACATAGAAAAACTTGCAAAAAGTTGCTTGGTTAATGTCAAACTTTTGTAAGGTTATCTTGTGTTATCTGGGTGCCATGACTGTCTACCTGTTCGTGACACAGATTCAAATCTCAATACGTCATCAGTGAATTTCTCAACACGATTTCTCATTCGGTAGAAATAGTGATAAACACCCAAGATCGCTGTCGCAGCGACCAACTTGAATGCAGCATGGATCTTTTATTTATTATTTTTATTCATATCATTCGTAAACAATAATATTACGGTAATTATTCATGGAAGCCTGTTTCAAAGAGTAGTTCCTGTCAGCGAAAGAAGTGATAACAATACATCCTTCAAAATTTTGAAAATCCTTCGAATTCAATCACAAAAATCACATGCGCACTAAGGTCGAGTGAAGAATTGTGGGTAAAAAGCAAATTTAGAATTTTAAGTAAATGCCTCTAACAAAAAAACAAAAACAAAAACAAAAACAAAAAACAGAAACGAAAAAAAAAAAGCACAACAAAACAACAAACCCCGAAAAATGAGGAATTCAGCCTACAAATATTCATTATATTGGAATTAACCGTAAATGCAACCCGCCAATATATCAGAGTGAGGTCGGACGGACGGATGGACGGCAGGACGGATGGACGAACGGACGACGCGCCATGACAAAATATTTCTGATTTTAATCAATCGATTGAAAACCTAGCTGAATAAATTATACCGAATATGATTGCAAAACAAACCCATATAGAATCCAGTCTTTCTTTTCTCGCCATTATCGTCAACATAAACCGTGACAAATGGACCCCGCAACGATTTCGCTACACCTTGGAGTACCATCCCGATCCCAAATATGGCCAAAAACATCGTCCGGACATCACTTTTGGTGTCGTCTGTGTCGCTCTCCTCCTTTAAATTTTTCACGCATGCGTCCTCAAACAAGACTGACGTATTTCCGGTTATCAAATCGCAAAGAGGATATACCTTACTCCTCATCGAAGACACACGTACAGTTGACGACAGGTTCTCATTGATGACGTCATCATCAGCTAACGATGGTAATGTACCACTGGCAAGACTGAAGAAGTGCGGCAGACTACAGACCACGCCTGAAATACCGTAGACAAGAAAGGCGCCGAAAAGCATCCGCGGTATGTGGACATATGGAGCAATAGAGCTTACTAACAGAACGACAGCTAAATAGCCAATGTCGTTAAAACTCATCAGAATTCCACTGTAGGCACTCGATAACCCAAACTGCTTCTCAATACTAGGGATTTGTGAACCTAAATATGTATTTAGAGACTGTGACAAGAGACCAATGATACTGTAACACCCCACAAAACAGGGAATGTTTCCAAAATTCTTGAAAAGTGATGGACGAAAAGGGCCGATCCCACAGGGTTCTGCTACAAAATCATCCTCCTCATTGTCAGAAGTCTCATTCAACACGTGACCATTATGTTGGTTCTGTTCCTCTGTCTTCTCAGATTCCATGTTTTACCTGTAACCATGGTGATGGAGATAAGTTAGATAACATAAATTGGGGATCATACTTACATGATGATCCATACTTACGGAATTCGATGAATCTATCAATTTCTTAAAAATCATATGAATAAGATTCAAGCGTAAATACAATTCTTTCCCTAAGAAGGAAGTATTTCCCAGTCATAGACATAGATTTTATCATTTTCTCTCTAAATTGCAACGGAAAGTTTAAAGTGAAAAATAAAAGGCTATTTTTCCCAAAGGAAAGAGTTTTTCGGATAATCTGTCTCGGGAATGTGGTTTTAAAATCTGTAGAAACCATAGAGCTTACGTATAGTTATAACAAAGTGTTAATTTATTCATGGTGAAATGTTTATATATATATATATATATATATATATGTCATATTTATTATATAAGGGAACTTATATGTTTACCAGATATCTTGATTATTTATAATAAAGCTTAAGTTTATGATATCTTAAATAACATTATGTGATATCATAAATAACATGATGAAATATCTTACTTTACATAATTAGATATCTTACTTTACATAATTAGATATCTTACTTTACATTATCAGATATCTTACTTTACATTACATTATCAGATATCTTACTTTACATTATCAGATGTCTTACTTTACATTATCAGATGTCTTACTTTACATAATTAGATATCTTCCTTTACATGATCAGATATCTTACTTTACATTATCAGATTACTTACTTTACATTATCAGATGTCTTACTTTACATTATCAGATGTATTACTTTACATAATTAGATATCTTCCTTTACATGATCAGATATCTTACTTTACATTATCAGATTACTTACTTTACATAATTAGATATCTTACTTTACATTATCAGATATCTTACTTTACATTATCAGATATCTTACTTTACATTATCAGATATCTTACTTTACATTTTCAGTTTTCTTACTTTTCATAATTAGATATCTTACTTTACATTATCAGATGTCTTACTTTACATAATTAGATATCTTCCTTTACATGATCAGATATCTTACTTTACATTATCAGATATCTTACTTTACATTATCAGATATCTTACTTTACATTATCAGATGTCTAACTTTACATTATCAGATGTCTTTTTTTACATTATCAGATATCTTACTTTACATTATCAGATATCTAACTTTACATTATCAGATGTCTTACTTTACATTATCAGATATCTTACTTTACATTATCAGATATCTTACTTGTAACGTGAAGAGCAATTGCTGATTCTCAGAAGAATAAGAGACACAAGCTGTTTTACACTAAACACAAATTTATATACAAAACACAAAGGACATACAAAGCCATGGTTAACAAAATGTCGACAAGCTCACTCTCTTACTCTCTTTACAATTAACACAGGATCCAACCTAGACAATATTAACAATGACAACGGAGGGCTGTGTTCCTCCACTATACAGGTACACTAATCAAATACTAGATACACTTATAGAGTAGGCAGCTATCTACGACGGAAGTGTCAGAATGTCACCAAGTAGGCTGATATCTACTTGTAGTGACAACAATGTCACATGGTCACATCAATGATCCAAGGAAAGTCCATACAGCTCCAAAACTACAAGGGGGTAACCATCCGCCATCCTCTGGAACCTCGGTCGGGCACAACAGGCAATACCTTTGTCCACCATCATCCATCACCAAGTGACCCCCTGCCAGAATGTGCGGGACAACCATCAAGCCATGAATGGTGTCTCACTGGACCATTCCACATGAGCCGTCAACAAGGCAAAGTATAGTAGCCCATCAGCAAGACAGGGTGTAACTACAATAATAGATATTCCCTATATAACACCTGCCATACTGTACTAGTTTAACTAATAATTGAATTAACACAACCTTATTAATTCTGATAATAATCGCATTAATACTCAATGCTATAACATATATTTACCACATTTGACTCCACTTAATGATCAATGATACAAGAAATAGATAATTGTCATTTCAATTATGAACATATTTACAGGTAAAGGTACGGTGCACGACGCCTTAATAGACCGTCGCACAATGGTTATTACGATACATAAGTAAACAACTGTATTTCACGTGCATGTATCAAATCACGAGTAATTGGTAATTAAACGATATTTATGCATGTATTCTATACATTTAACCGGTAAAAATCACATCATACACACCCTAATTAAACACATGGTATAGTAACACTATCGCGCACCTGTGCGTGTGTACACAAACCGTGCTCATAACAAACATACCGGCACAGGTAAATATATTGCTGTTTATCTACACAGCACTGAATAAACCATATTTACAACAATTACAGAATGCATAAAACATAAAAATCATAATTCATGGGTTTTGGGTACTCACCGCAAGCTGTGGTTTGCGTGAACGGTGAATATTATATCATGGTTCAAACAATGGCAATGTTGACACGGTAGCTGTCTCTGTCATGCATAAAAGCATGCGTACACGTCACATCCTCTCAGGTAAAAGTTTCGTAGAGATGAGCGCGCGAAATATGAACAACTGACAAAGTTCTGTATAGATATGTGACATATGCCCCCACGGAGAAAATAAAATTTGGAGAATTTTATTTCAAACCATCACATATCGCTGTCAATAGCGAAGAATCGAGCGTTGAACAAACAAAAGTCAAAATTACCTAAAGTCTACTTAGACAATCTGCACCAACATTGTCTTTCCCGCGAATCGCACGGATCGTAAAACGATACGGTTGAAGTAACAAGGCCCACCTCATCAACCTCGCATTGGTTCCTTTGAGCTTGTTCAAATAAACCAAGGGCTGATGGTCAGTCTCCAGGATAAACGGACGACCATACAAGTACCGTTCAAATTTCGTGATTCCCCAAATCACTGCCAAGCACTCTTTTTCTATGACCGCGTAAGCCCTTTCTGATGCCTTGAGCTTCCTACTAGCAAACGCAACAGGGAGAGGATTTCCGTCCTCCTCTTGCAACAGGATTGCTCCGAGACCTTGATCAGAAGCATCTGTTCGCAGGATAAACTGTGATTCAAGGTCCACAAGTTTTAAGATAGGCTTGCTGGCCAACCTTTTCTTCAGTGTCTCGAATGCTGCCTCTTGTGGAGAATCCCATATAACTTTGTTGGGTTGCCCCTTCCTTGTGAGATCAGTCAGTGGAACAGAGATAGCCGCGAAGTTCGCAATAAATCTCCTATAAAATCCAGCTAATCCAAGGAATGCCCGGACTTGCGTTTTCGTCTCAGGACGAGGTGCCTCTAAAATTGCCTTCACTTTATCTGGATTTGGTAGTAATCTTTCGTTTCCCACCGTATGTCCAAGACATTCCAAGCTCTTGTATCCGATGGCACACTTAGAGGGTCTGGCGGTGATCGAAGCATTCCTTAGTCTATCGAAGAGTTCACGAAGTACTATAAGGTGTTGTTCCCATGTACGCGTATAAATGAGAATGTCATCTATGAAGCTTTCAATGTTGGACATTCCATGCAAGAGCTTCCTCATTAGCCGACAGAACGTCGCAGGGGCATTGACTAGCCCAAACGGCATCACCGTGAACTGAAACAGACCCACTGGGGTCGTAAATGCAGTCATAGGCTTGGAACGATCAGTCATTGGCACTTGCCAGTAACCTTTACTTAAGTCGAGCCGGGAAAAGTATTGATGACCTGCTAGCCTCGAGAATATGTCGTCAGTGTTTGGCATCGGTTCTGCATCAAACACAGTAACTCTGTTGATCTGCCGGAAGTCGATACAGACCCGATTTGTGCCGTCTTTCTTTCGGACGATGACAACTGGGGAAGCAAAAGGTGACTCAGACGGCTCGATAACGCCCATTCTCAACATCTTATCAACCTCTTCTCTGATGGTAGCTTTCATCTGGAAAGGCAGTGTATGACCTTTGACTCTAAAGGGATCATTTGTTGTTAGATTGATGTCATGTTCAACCAACATAGTCCTTCCCGGTACGTCAGTGAGAACATCTGAGAATTCTCTGAGTAAAATTCGGATGTGGCTTCGCTGCTCAGTCTCCAACTCATCTGATACGTCGACATCCTCAATGGATTCAGATCCAGCAGAAGCAGGTAAACTTTCAATCTTGCTTGACTGAAAATCATCTTCCTCGTCTTCGTCGCTGACGATTGATGCACACACGACTGATAAAGCTCCCGGATAATGTTCCTCCAGAACGTTCGCATGAGTGGGACGTTCAACATACAAGCGCAACATGTTGGCATGAAGTGTCTTAACCTTTCCGTCGACTCTGACTGCATAGTCCATAGAACCTTTCCTTTCCTCTATAACAAAAGGTCCTCTCCACTGCATCAAGAGTTTATTACGTTTTGTTGGAAGTAGGACAAGGACTTTCTGACCTGGCTCCATTGTCCGCACCTTGGCTTTTCTGTTGAAGTACTTTGCTTGCCTTGTTTTCGCTGATGACAGTTGCTCGAGAGCCAGCTTACAAGTCTCTTCTAATCGTTCCCTAAGGTCAACAACGTACTGGTATGTTGTTTTGACGTCGTCATCTGCCACATCTTTGGTCCAGAGCTCTCGTAGGATCATCATTGGTCCCCTCACCGTTCTCCCATATAACAGTTCGAAAGGGGAGAATCCTAAACTCTCCTGTGGCACCTCACGATACGCAAACAATAGAGAGTTAAGATACTTGTCCCAATCTTTGGGTCTCTCTGAACACATCCGCTTCAGCATTTGCTTGAGAGTGCCGTTAAAGCGTTCCACCAACCCATTACACATTGGGTGGTAGGGTGTAGTTGTAAGTCGTCTGATGGATAACAACCTGCTAACTTCCTTCATTAGATCAGAAGTGAACTGACTTCCTTGGTCGGTGAGTACTTCGCGAGGTATACCAACTCTACTGTAGATATCTACAAGCGCTTCTGCAACGCGTTCAGTCTCTACCCCTGGCAAAGCAACAGCCTCTGGGTAGCGAGTAGCATAGTCAACCACGGTCAAAATAAACCGATTT